AGTTATAATCTTCACGTAAAGAGTTCTAGAACTTGAACATGCTTCTATGACAGTCTTCCTATGAAAGTACCACCTCTCTAAAGTCAACCTATTGTTTGCTTAATAGCAATTAACACAGCATCTATTCAATACCACTGCCAAGGCAACAGCTATTTAAACTAATCCTCATTCTTGGGCATCTATTGGCTATTTTCTACATATATTTTAGATCTGTCACATCAAAGACTTTCTTTCGGCCCAGGAACTCCGAATAAGCTTACCCACAGCTCGTGAGTGATCTCACCCGGATCAGCAGGCAGGCACAGCCCCAAGCAGTCAGGAACTTCAGCAGAACGCCCGGAGTTCCCTACGTCCACCTGGAATTGTGCAGCTCGTTTCGGTAGCGGTAATTAAAACACTTTTTATGGCGAGACAGGCTCACGCGTCGCAGCAGCTGCGCTCCTTGCCTATGGGGAAAGGCGCGCTCAGACCTGGGAGCACCAGCCACCGCCAAGGCTGTTCCAGGGAGAAGGAGAACGAGGAGGAAAACGAGGAGGAGGAGGAGCTGGAAGAGGCACCCGCGCACAGAAGGGGCGCGCACACCGCTTCCCAAGGGCCAGAGACCACCCCCGGCCCCCGCCTATCAAGGCCGCCTCTGCTTCGTGCCCCGAGCCGCGCCTTGCCCCGCACTGCGCACTCCCGAGCGGGAGAGGCAGCGACACCCCACCGCACCTCCGGACACGCTCCCGGCGGCTGCGGAGGAGAGGCGGCCACGGCGACACGGGACAGCCAAAGACGCCGCCACTGCAGCAACAAAGCCAATGCCGCCGCGGGAGGGCGGCGCATCCCCCGCCGGCCCCGCGTCCCCGCCGCGGAAGGAAACCCGCCCCGGGCGGACGGGCTGACCCACTGCCGGCCTCGCCGCCCCGCTCCGCGCAGCTCTCGCCGCCGCTGCCCCGCACTGTGTTACGGGCACCGAGCCCGGTTACATGTGACCAGCAGCGCCGCCTCGGCAGCCGGGCCGCTCCCCCCGCACCGCGCAGGGCGGGCGGCGCGGGCTCCCGGCGGGGCGGGGCGGGACGGGACAGGGCTCCGCCCGCCTGGCCGCGGCACCGCCCCCGGCACCGGGACCTGACAGGCGGGCTCCCCACAAAGCCTGTTGCAGAGGTTCGGAGGTCGCCGCAGCCCTCCCGAAAAGCCGGGCAGAGTGAGGCAAGGCCTCGCCGAGGGCGCTGCCCCCGCCCGCCGTCCTGTGAGAGAAACCAGCCTGCGCCGGGCGCAGCCGGCGGCGGCCCCTCTTTCCAGGCAGGGACAGTGATCTCCCTGCGACCCCGGGGCTGCCCCGCGGGTACTGCCCTGTGCCCGCTGCGCATTGCTGTCAGACTCTTTTCAGTGGTGCCCAGCGACAGGTTGAGGAGCAATGGCTACAAATTAAAACACAAGAAATTCCACCTCAACAAGAGGAAGAACTTCTTTACACAGTGAGTGGCAGAGCACTAGAAGAGGCTGCCCAGGGACGTCGTAGAGTCTCCCTCTCTGGAGACATTTAAAACCCACGTAGACACGGTCTTCTGTCACCTGCTCTCGGTGACCTGCCTTGGCAAGGGAGTTGGAGTGGATGATCTCCAGAGATCCCTTCCAACCCTAACAATTTTGTGATTCTGTGACTGCCTGTTGCTGCTGTGGCCCAAGCTGCCAGGTGCATGGCCTTGGCGCCCCTCTGACCGGGGAGCACCCCAGCACCCTCAGCAGGGGGGGGGAAGAGGCACTGACAGGTGCTCACAGAGATAGGGAGAGTGCAAAAAAAGGCCTCAAAAGAGGATGGTAACAGTACAAGAATGGTGCATCACCAGAGGGGAAAAAGGGTCTTCTTGGAACTGGTTTCAGTTGCTATACAACTGTGGTGCAAGTGAAAGGAAACTGCTTCTAAGAACAGTGCAGCCAAAAGGAACCTAGAAGAGTGAGAGATTGGATGCTACCAGGGACAAAAAGTGAAGTACTCTCTTTGTTCAAGGCCCTTTGGTCCACCACTCCCTCCCCTCTGTTTTGTCCTGCCCTTATTTATTCTCCACTACACCTTTCATCTGAATCTAAGAGCTGGTACCTTGTTTTTCTGCCTTTAGCACATAAGAGGAGTTTTACTTTTTGAAAACTTGCACAGTGCCTTGGAAATCCTGCAGGAATTTATAAAGGGAACAGGGAAGCTTTGCACTGTTGTGGCATGACCAAGTCTGTGTCATATGCAGAAGGAGCACTGAAAAGGCAGGGCAGAAGCCACAGGTGCCATGACAAACTATCACAAAACATTAGGATGAAACTTCTGTTCCAAAAGTGGGCAAGTTTAAACTGAGCAATTCTTGCGAAACTCTTCAAAGTTTGAGGCAAGTGATGAAGCAAGCTTCACTTTTCTGTATTGTCTATAGCTACATATATATTTTCAATGTTTGAAGAATGACATACCAAAAAGAAGAAAAGGAACAGTTCCAAACCTGCAGAGATAACACAAATTTACTATGTTTGGACTCCTGCTGTTTTTTGTTACTTTAAATTAGTTTATCTTAGATAAGACATTTGCTTCCAGGGATCCTTCAGCAAGAAGTATATGACATCTGAGAGGCTTCAGGGAAGGATCACATTGACTTTCTCTTTTTAGGAGCAGGTCTTCAAGTTGCTGTCCTTACTTTCAGAGCACCAGCTATGTCATCCCCACATACCTTTTCCTTTATTTCTTCCTCTTGCTTCTGACTTTGAGCCATCTTTCACAATTCCATAACTGCTTTAAGCAACGTCACAATAAACTCAAGCATCCTTCTCTTTTCCTGTTTTGTATTATATTTTACATACATGAATACAATATAAAAAGATGTATATTATTACCTCATAGTTCTTATAAATTTTGTAATATAATGGAGGTATTGTCATCCCCCTACTCTGTAACCCATTACAATACAGCACAAAATTTATAGTTCAGAGTTTTACCCTTCAGTCAGTCAGTGCAGGTTTTTTCTCTGAATCTGAGTAAGGAAGACCTGAAAACAAATCACTTAATAAATTTAATGTTTTAAAAAGACATAGTAAAGAGCAACAGAGATAGCAAGTAAATCTTGCATCCTTTTAGATGCCAGGATATCTGCAGCATTAGACTGCAGCATTCCTGCAGCATTAGACTGACCCTGGATGGACTTCTCCCATGGCAGGCTACATAGATTGCATCTGTGGACAGAAGTTCTTTTTTGGTCGAGCTATTTTAGTTTTCTCACAAGAAAACAGCTATTCATAAAGGATGTTCACAGGAGAGGTTCACTCCTTGCTATGCTTGTAGATAAAAGCAAGGCCATGCAGATGGTGTATATGCCTGCACTACACAGGAGCTGCCTTCAGGCTTCTCTGTGTCAAGGAGCCAGCAGAGTTTATCTGGCTTCCAAGGGGTTTGTGCACTGTGACACAGGCCTGAAGGCAGCACAGGACAGACTTGAGCCTGCTCCAGTTAACTATACTGTGGATCACTGTCTCCTGTATGTACAGCGCTCTCCTGGTCAGGATCACTACACTCCCTCTGCCTCCATCATCTTCAAATAGTGTCATGTTCAAATAGTGTGTTTTGCCTCCTTGCACATCCCAGAGTAATAATGATCCAGTGCATTTTAGAATTTGAAGCGTGGAAATGAGAAAAAAAGTGTTGCTGATATCAAGGGGTTTTTTTTGTTTTAAGCATCTCTTTTCTCTGTTTTTCTTCGTGTCTTTCCTTTTTCAGATAACCGGCCAAAATTAGCGCTGCAGAAAGCATGAAACATGTCCCATCTTAGGGCTGAATGTGCTGGGAAACAGCCTTGCACAGAACTCACTGAACTGTTTTGTCAGTGATTTTCACAGTAGTTTTTACATCCTCTCAAATTCTATGATGGGGCAACATGATGACAGAAGTCAAAGCTGTAAGGCCATAGTGCTTCATGAAGAGAAACTTCTTTAGGGAGGGAGCTTTTGCTGGCTGGAGTGCTTCATCAACTAGTTGAAGTCATTGCTGCAGGCAACCAAACCCTTTGACTAGGAAGTATTTCAGCTGGAAATTTTGAAATAATACCATTCTTTCTTGAAAAAAGTAACCACACTATTGTGACTGATGTCATTACTAGAAACTATACAAGCCAAGATGCCAATCATTTCTCATTTTGCAAGATGCCATTTGCAGTGGAGAGAAGACAAGCAGTGCTTCTATACCCACCTTTCTGCCTCTGCACAGTTGACCTAGGTTGCTAATAATTTATCCAGGGCTGAATTAAAGAAAAACTTTTGGAAAACATTTCAAACTTGGAAAGGGATAAGAATTTCTGTGCATTTATATTGCTACCCCACGTGAAACTTCACAATTTTAGTTCTGATACAGCAACTCCTTATTGCACTGACACTTTATTTTGTTCCTCTTCAGACTAGAGCATACTGGTCAACTTTGAGATACACAACTGTGCAAGGGAGTGCACACAGAGAAATGATAAGTGGAAGTAATAAATGATACATAACAGGCTGTATGTTTGTTTTCATGCAGTAACATGTTTAATGCCTGAGTATTTAGCTGACTAACAGTCCTTGGACAGAAGCTAAAAATTTTTTCCTTAGCAGCTTTCAAGCAGCCCTGGTGCACTTTTTAAGGAAGTTGCTCCTCAACTCTGTCTGGAAAGCAGTGCAGTAAGCACACGTCCTTGTCACATTTCCATACTGATTTTATTTACTAAGCTGGCAAAAGGCAGGCACAGGAGGGTTAACTAATGTGCTGACACTCTCAGACATGATTCTTGTGGATGTCCCTGGATTACCAAGAGCAACTGCCAGTGAGTGATCAAAACAAATGTTCGTGTTGTTCTGAACTCCCTGCAAAAGGAATACTTGCAGATGCAAGTCTGTTGCTGAAGTTTCTTTCATACTTTTTGGGAAATAACCATATAATGTAGTTAATTTATAGATGGTGTGAGCTGGCTTGCCTTCTGAAATGAAAAATGCTTTTTGCTGCTAAAAGCAGCACTGAAACAAGCTCAAGCAGTTTCTGGAGGTATTTTGAAGCAGAAAAAAAAATCCTAAACAGAGAAGAGTTCCTTTTAATATGCCCCTTTTTATCTGAGTGCAGGTATGGCAGGAGAAAATGTGAGAATTCACTCAGGAGGCTCCTAAAACCTGCTAGCAGTTACTACTTCATAGAAAAGCTTTTGGATTTTTGTAGTTCTACAGAAGGCAACTGTATACACTGCTATAGCCAGCACAAAAAATGGATTGTATCTAAATGAGAAGAAACATTTATAACCAAGATGCTAACATTTAT